GAGAAGGTTAGGAAGATTGGCTTCACAACTGCTGTTCGTAAACACCAAAGGATCCCAGTAACGTATTTTCCACTCCCCTCCCCAAAACACACACACACACACACACACACACACACACACACACACTATACCAGCAAGGGAGTCCTCAGAGGTAATGGAGAGTGAGAGCTCCCAGGTAGGCTCACTTCAATGTGAGTCCTGACTCTCATGGACCCCTACGAGGCCTTGGACACGTTTCAGAAGCTCTCTAATCCTCAGTTTCATCTTTTGTAAAAAAAAAAAAAGGAAAGATAAATGGCTCTATCACATTGTGAGCTACAGGGATCAGATGAGATAATGTCTGTAATATTGCTGGCACCCAGGAGGTGCTTAATAAGTGCATTTCTCTTCCCAGATTAAATGCAGTCACAACTCGCAATAATGCCAGGTCGCTGCATGACTGCTGGCAGGAAATTATCTAGGGCAGATGCCGACAAAGGTTCTTCAGCTGCCAGGACCAGAGTGAACCTCCAGCTCCCAGCCATTCTGCTCCCCATCCATCCAGGTCTCCTCCCGCCCTCTCCACTGCTGGCCCGGACTTCCTGAAGGAACCTCTGGGCTTCGCATGGCCCAAGGCTTCTTTTTCTTGTTGACTTTCTCTCTCTCTCTCTCTTTTTTTTTTTTTGAGGACTGCTTTCTTTTCTTTTTTAGATTTATTTTTATTAAAGCGTAGTTGCTTCACAATATCGTGTTAATTTCTACTGTACAGCAGAGTGAGTCAGCTCTACATGTACATATATTCCCTCTTTTGCAGATTCGCTTCCCATTTAGGTCACCACGGAGCGTTAAATAGAGTTCCCTGTGCTGTACATTGGGGGGTTTCTCATTGACTCATGAGCCAGGTCTCTCTTCGTCTTCTCCCCCATCCTTAATTTCTAGACTGTGAGCACTCTGTGAAGAACACCGCCTGGGGGGACAGACGGCCAGGTTTGAATCGGCTTTTGCCTCTTGGGTCCTGAACACTGCACCCACAACTGCATCCCTCTCAGTTTTCTTATCGGAAAAACAGCACACATGCCATAGGGTAGGTGGGAACATTAGATCAGTCAATGTTAAATCAACAGCTAGATCAGTCTGTTAGATCTGTTAGTTAGCCTGCTGTTAGATCAGGCTTCCCAGGGTAGCTCAGTGGTAAAGAATTTGCCTGTCAATGCAGGAGACACAGGTTCTATCTGTGGGCCCTGAAGATCCCCTGAAGAAGGAAATGGCAACCCACTCCAATATTCTAGCCTGGAAAATTCCATGGACAGAGGAGCCTGGCTGGCTGCACTCCATAGGGTCACAAAGAACCAGACATGACTGAGCTTATGTGTGTGTGTGTGTGCACGCACACACACATACACACACACACACACACACACACACACACACAAACTGTCAGATCGGGCTGGCCTCTTCCACCTCTCCAGCCCCATTCTCACCCCGCCACGTGTCACCCTGGACAGGCAGGATGACCTCCCTCTGCCTTGATTTCCCCATGTGTAACAAGGGACCAGTCTGTTTTCCCAAGGCGGGAAGTGCACATGCATGGGAAAGCTCCGACTCCACCAACCCGGCAGGGGAGATGCCTGTCTAGCCGAGTCCCTTCTCTCCATCTCCAGCCGCCTCCCAACACCCTCCTGATGACGCTTCTCATTCAGGAGCAGGTATCTGCACAGCCAGCTCTAGGATTGGGGGATTCTGGGGGGCATGTGTGTCTGCCGCAAGTTCCACCCCCATGAGGGTGACTCAGCCAGACTTTTCCTCCGAGGGTCAGTAGGACCTGTGCCTCGGAGGTGGGCGCTCTCACCCGGCCGTCCCATAAACTTGGCTTCCGAGAGTCCCATGGTGGACAGTGTTCCTTCCCAAGGTGCCCGCAGTACCGGAGGTTTCTTGGCTCAATTCTGTGACATGGTGAGGAAAATCCCAGCTCCACCCTTTGGGTCTTGTGAGAAAGGAAGCCAAGCCGGAGACAGCTCTGCAGGTGACCCCTCTGAGAGGTCGCCGGCATCTCCAGGTGTGGCCGGGGCAGGCAGGGAGCCGCTCCAAGCCTCAGTGCATCTACACACCCAGTGAACACCTCTGGACCACCTACTCTGTGTCAAGTGGTCTCCCAGGTTCTGGAAACACAAGAAAAATAACAATGCCTGTCCTCCGGCAGCTCACCTCGTGGTGGGGGAGAGGGTTAGCGAAGGATCCTGCTGCGGAGTGGAGAGTCATTTGGTAAGCGGTGAAGCAGGGTAAGTGGAGAACTGGGAAAGCCCTTCAGAAGCAGAAGCTGGAAGATCTTCTCTGAGAAAGAGAGCTGAGATGAAGAGAAGTGAGATGTGCAGACATGTGACAATTATTCCAGGGAAAGGGAAGAGCAGGTGCAAAGGTCCTGAGGCAGGATGCTGGAGGAGTGTCAGGCAGACATTGTAGCAGGAGCAGAGAAAAAGCATTGGAGAGGGAGGTCAGAGAAGTCAGGGGGCTGAGTGGTGGCTGGGCTTAGAGGCCGTGGTAAGGACTTACGCTTTGCTCACATGACTTGGGACGTCATGATGTGTCTGGAGCATAGGAGTGGCCCGCTCTGTCTTTTTTAAAATATTCATTTATTTGGATGCATCAGGTCCTTAGTTGCAGTGCGTAGGATCTTTCTGTTGTGGTGCACAGACTTTCTAGTTGTTCTTCCGTATTTGCAGTGCATGGGTTTAGTTGCCCTGCAGCATGTGGGATCTTAGTTCCCCATCCAGAGATGGAAACCACGTCCTCTGCATTGCAAGGCAGATCCCTAACCACTGGACCACCAGGGAAGCCCCCACACTCTGTCTTTTGCTTCACAGTATCACTGTGGCTTCTCTCTCGAGGATAATATTAAGCAGGGGGCACCAGAGAAGCAGAGAAATCCATTGAGAAGCTATACTAACAGTCCGACCCAGACACGATATGTGTGTGTGCTCAGTTGCTTCAATCGTGTCTGACTCTTTGTGAATCCATGGACTGTAGCCCACCAGGCTCCTCTGTCTATGGGATTTTCCAGGCAAGAATACTAGAGTGGGTTGCCATGCCCTCCTCCAGGGCATCTTCCAGACCCAGGGATCGAACCTGCATCTCCTGAATTGTAGACAGATTCTATACCACTGAGCCACCAGGGAAGCCCAGAGATGCTGATAACTTGAAACAAAATGGTAGCAGGATAAGTGGTAACAAGTGCTCATATTCAGAATATACATCAGAGTAGAGACAACATGATTTCCTGATGCATCAGATGTAGGTGTGAGAGAGAAAAAGTGTTTAGTTGGTCTAAGCAAATGGAACGATGGAGGTGCCATCAACTGAGATGGGGAAGACCAGAGCAGGAACAGGTTTAGGGGCTCTACTGAGACCCGGTAAGTCAAGATGCCCATTCAGCATACAAGTGGAGATGTTGAAAGCCAAGGTGGATATATCTCATTTCATCTTCAAAGCAACATGTGGTATAGACCATGTTATAAATGGGGAAACTTCAATCAGTGCTTTGAAGTTCTATCTTAAATGGCACATCTCCAGGGTTGACACCTCCATAAATGATGGAGTCAGGATTTGAATCCCACCCAAATGACTTCAGAGCCCATGCTTCCTCTTCTCTATTCTGCTCCTGGAATCTCTGCAGACAAGTGGAAAGCACATACCCTTCTAGACAAGCCCTCTGAGGTGTGGGATGTTTATGCCATCCAGAACTGCCCTATGACTTCTACAGAGAATGTCTCATTTAATCCTTACAACAGCCTTCAACTCCCATTATTATCCTCATTTTACATCTGTGGAAACTGAGGCACCAAGAGCCTCAGAGTCAGTAAATGGTGGATCTAGGGGGTGATCCAGAGATCAAGCCCTTCAACACTATGTCATGTGTCAAAATCAAGTGTTTGTCAAATCAAAGAGTAGCGTGTAATTGACTAAAATAATGATATTGCTGACTCTGAGGTATCATTCAAAGATAGTGTCATCTTTGAATCAACAGACCTTTGTGGAATGAAAAAAGCTTAGCCCTGACAACCGGAACCTATAAAGTCTTTTATTTAACAAACATTTATTGATCAACTACTACGAGCCAGGCAGTGGATAGACACAGAAGCCCTAGAGGTGACCGAGTCGTGAAGAAGCTCAAGGTCTAGTGCAGTGGCCAGGGTCATTCCAGTCCAAGCATTAAGTGCTATAATCAGGATATATAAAGTACTGTTGGGTGATTACCTTCAACATTTCACTTTTTTCTAGTCTCTCTTATTTGTGTGAAGCTGTATTAGGGGAGCAATCAGTGAATTACATCTTTTGCATATTAGAAAAAAATGGTGTTATCTTGACCTAGCCTGTGCGCTGTAATTTTCTTATCAACTGGGGAATTTCACTTCCCTTTTGACATCACACTTTTCTCGTGTGTATAGTAGCAGGCGTTGGAGGGGTGGAATGTGGCTAATGGTAAATATGGACATAGGATGACATTCAGCAAGTATCACGTTTTGCTTTTGTGATGATTAATTTTTTTAATATTTATTTATTTATTTGGCTATGCCAGGTCTTAGCTGCAGCATGCAGGATCTTTGATCTTTGTGGCAGGATGTGGGATTCTTAGTTGCAGCAGGTGAGATCTAATTCCCTGACCAGGGATGGAACCTGGGCTCCCTGCATTGGGAGCTCAGAGTCTTAGCCACTGGACTTACCCAGGGAAGTCCCCATGATGATTCATTTTTATATGCCTTGTTTTCAAAATAAATAAAAGCTGCCACTTCCTCATCTTTGCCAGGGTTTGAAGCTGATTCATGTGTGCCTCATGTGAGAATGCCTCAGGTAGACATTTGTAAGGCACCGTGGCTTGTAGAGGCAGCCTCACACATGCCATGTTTAACCCAGAAATGTTGATCCAGGGATGGAAAACTATATTTTAAAAAATCAGCCCAGAGATGGTTTTGCAGCCAGTCTAGCAATTGTCTTTCTGATGCCTTTTTATCTCTGCCTTTCCACAGAAAAGTCTGGACACCTACTGTTTCCTGGTTTTTGCTGCAATCTGCTTCACAGGTGCTCTCTATTTGTATTTTGTCCTGCCTGAGACCAAAAACAGAACCCATGCAGAAATCAGCCAGGCATTCGCCAAAAGAAACAAGGCATACCCACCAGAGGGGAAAACTGACTCATCGGTAACTGATGATAAGACAAACATTCAGCCTGACCCAGACTCCTCCTCTGCACTGGAGAAATGAGTCAAAAAACAGGGTTGTCTGAACGGACGGGCTCACCATTTTAAAACCAGAGAGTCCCCTGCAAGTTTAGCCTGATGAAATATTTTAAAATAAGCCTTTGCTAATCTAACATTGCAACCCATTTGGGGTTTCTTCACAGCTGAATCCCCCAAAGTCTTCTGGCAGCTGGAATCATGCTATCTTTTACTGGACCCAGTATTCATCTGTAGAGATCCATGTCCTGCCTTCTTCACGACTTAGCCCATGGTTTCGATATTAAATTGGGGACACAGCATTTGAATGCTTTCTCAAAGGTCAATGATCTGGTCTGACGGAGGACTCGGAGGGCTTCCAGTTCCAGCTCTAACAATAGTAGCCTTGAGCGGCCCTCAGCCTGGATCCTGAAGCCTTCAGGGACCCTTGGCTCTGATCCTGGATGAAAGTTTTCATACCTCCTAACCAATGCCCATTTCCAATCTTTGACCCTGCTTTGTGGATCTCAGACTCAGGAGAGGCTGCTCCCAACCCACCACCCTCCAGGTTCTATCTCTCCCAGGCCATCCTGGGGGGCTTCCAAAACATCTTTTCTGAATATCAGATGTGCTCACAGGGAGCATAAAGGGGATCAATATAGAAGACCTGGAGAGGCAGATGTGAGAAGTAACTTCCAGAAGCTAAGAGAAGCAGGACCACAAATGGAACTCCATTCCATTAAAAAGGACAATGTTAAGAATGAGTCTCCTCATCTCAGAATTTCAAGATTACTGACTTTTACTTTCACACATGTAACACCCTCTCATCTATTTCTGGTCCATAGTGCACACCAGAAGAATTGCTTTTCTTGGAGGAAGAAGCAAATGAAACAGTGCAGATGTAGTTACAAGAGCACTGACCACCCACCTAGATCATGATGTTGAAGGTCACACCCTAAGGATACACAGCAGTAAGCAATAAGAGTCCCGAGTCTAGACTTCATGGAACAGAGTTGCTGTAACAGTCCTGAACTGTCTAGCAATAACCTTTGCATGTGAGAGTCAAAATTTCTGTCTTGCTTAAGCTACTCTTATTTGGGGTTTCTCTTCCTCACATCTAAACTCAAATTCAATTCATCTGGGTCATGACAGGGAAGAGCCCAAGCCAAATGAGAATATATGAAGCAAGCCCAATAATTTAGACAGTCAGCAGTCTGTTTGTCTGGGGCACAGGTGACTGCGTGTTAAGGGAGCATGGATTCATATTCATGTTGTGTGGTTACTGCAGCTTTGAGGTAGTCTGGGAGCTGTCTATGGTGCTGATCTGGGATTTCTGACTAATGTTCTAATTTTTCTTCTTTATAAGCTTGCAAAATACTTTCACATTATTGCTTACAATGCTGGAGATAACCTCTGAAGTATATATTATTGGATTCATTTAATTTGATCCAAACCCTTGGAGTTTTTCCAGCTCCAAACCCAGCTAAGTTTAGTGCACTTATCACTGTACTAGGGACCTCAGGAATTTGGCCCCAGCCCCTTGTCTCCNTATATTATTGGATTCATTTAATTTGATCCAAACCCTTGGAGTTTTTCCAGCTCCAAACCCAGCTAAGTTTAGTGCACTTATCACTGTACTAGGGACCTCAGGAATTTGGCCCCAGCCCCTTGTCTCCAGAACAATGACTTTAATATGTATCCCTGATCCCTTCCACTGTGACTCCCTGACATCTGCTTGTCTGTGGTGGGTTGTGGAATTATCATCCCAGTGAATCAGGCCTCCTAGTATGCGTGCTCTTGTATAATTCCCTAGTGTACTGAGTCTGGACTTGGCCATGCATTGAGATATCAGAAAATGTGACACAAGCAGAAGCTTAGTAAGCAGCTCTACTTCAGGGCTTTCCCTTGTAATGTGCTAATGTCATCATTTGTGGAAGCCCAATCTTGCCTCCTTGAGGATTCAGTTCAGTACAGTCGTTCAGTCATGTCCAACTCTTTGTGACCCCATGGACTGCAGCATACCAGGCCTCCCTGTCCATCACCAACTCCTGGAGTTTACTCAAACTCATGTCCATTGAGTCAGGAATCCTACAAGAAAATAACTGATTCATCTCAGGATACCATCTTCTTGGTAACTGCTCATTACATATTGACTGAATGAATAAATACCATGGCATAGTTGTGAAGAAGATGTGATGGGAGCCCTGAGGACAGAATAACTGTAGCCTGGGGTGATTAAGACAGATTCTTTTGAATGAAAGCAAGTGAGCTGCATGTCAGATGAAGATTAGGCTTTCATCAGACTGAGAAGACAGATAGAAGGTGTTTGAAACAAAAGGGCCAGTGGCATTGGAGCAAACTAGTAAATGGCAAATTCAGAGAATAGCAAACTATTGGTGTGACCAAACAAGGGGGATGTGAGGATAAGAGCAGAAGATGAGCCTGGTCACTAGTTTTGGTCTAGACTGAAAAATAACGACTGTGGCACCAACTCCATCTCCTAAATATGCCTGGGACTAAGCCCTCCCCAACAGCTTCCATCTCTGACTGGTAAACTTCAGTCTATGCAGGAAACACCCTATTCTGAAACTACTTCTCAACTGAATAAATGATGGGACTTGGGTCGGTCAGATGGTTATTATCAGACCTCGTTTTTCTTCCACTGGACTTTCATTAGCTGGTTGTGCGCCCCAAAGGAGGGAGGTCGTGTTGAGTGACAGGACTCAGCAGCTGCTCACAGTTTCAAACATTTGCTGTAATTTACACTAAGATGTGGATGTAATTATCTTTATCAGAATGACTTCCCCTGGCAAATTTGTACAGTAAGTCAAGTAAATTTCCTCTCATTAAATCACAGCATTTGGGGACTGCAGTTTGTCTCAGCCAAGAACTAGAGCTTGGAAGTAATTAAGGAAAAGGGGAAAAAAAAAACTTGGGTTCTCAGCAGGAAGTGTGGGTGGTAAAAGGACGGAGGCTGTATTTCAGAAGTGTGTTGGAAGTGCAGACCTCCAGGAGTTCCAGGACTGTATGCCTCTTAAATTTAGAGCAGACACATCTCCTCTATTCACTACCCCACTATTTGGCAAACTGAGACTGTTACATTCCGAGTAAGATTTAGAAGTAGAAAAGAACAGCTACATGAAGGTATTTTCAGTGATGGGATCAGATCCTTCAGAAATGGGCTTGTGGTTTCATCCCATGAGCAAAAATAAAAATAAATATCTTTATGCTGGAATGATGTTAGATGTCTTCACACACATTACCCCCTTTGGTTCTCACAACAAAACTGTGGGGTAGGTTGTGCATGTGCTCATAATGCCCATTTCTTTACCTTCTTGTAATTTAGCCCAGTTCTAACTAAATAGCCTGAAGTGGATACTGGGGACACCTAATGTGTCATGAAGAAGAAGAATGCTTCGCTTCAGTCGTGTCCAACTCTTTGCGACCCTATGGACTATAGCCCGCCAGTCGTCTCTGTCCATGGGATTCTCCAGGCAAGAATACTGGAGTGGCTTGCCATTTCTTACTCCAGGGGATCATCCTGACTCAGGGATAGAACCCACATCACCCGCATCTCCTGCACTGGGAGGCAGGTTCTTTACCACTAGCACCACCTGGTTACCTGCTAAATCCCTAGCAGTAACCACAGTCCTTTATCATAATGAGTAATAAACAGAGAGCTGATGAATGAACAAATTGTGAATGAGGTTTTTTTTAATCAAGGAACTTTGACTGACATACTTTAAAGATACCAGAAGTCATTAGAACAGTACAATTTGGCTGAAACCTGGAAGCCCCGGTGGCTCAGAGGTGAAAAATCCACTTGCCAATGCAGGAGATGCAGTTCAATCCCTGGGTCATAAAGATCCCCTGAAGGAGGAAATGACAACCCACTCCAGCATTCTTTCCTGGAGAATCCCATGGACAGAAGAGCCTGGCGGGCTACAGTCCATAGAGGTCACAAAGAGTCAGACATCACTTAATGACTAAAACAACAGCAACAAGCTAGCACACACCCAGCCAATGAATGTGTATCAGTTAAGACTCCTTAATTTCAGGGGACAGAGTCCTAACTCATACTAACTTAAAAATTAAAGCAGGAAGTTTTTCTTTTGCTCAACAGGGAATAGGGAAGCTAGTAAGCTCAACAGGGAAGCTACTAAGGCAGCCAACTTAATTCTTGCCTGGATTCAGGGACTCAAATAATATCATTCATGGTCCCGACCCTGCCATCTCTCCATTCTGCTGGTCTCTACTTAGTTGTCACTTCTGAGTTTCTCAGTATAGCAGCCTCCTTTAGCCCCAGCCTTGCACCTTCTTGGCTTGGTTGCCAATGGGAGGAAAAAAAATCATATTTCTAGTGCTATGGAACAAAACACCATGAAAATTGGTGACTTAAAGTAACAGTCACTTTTCTGCTCACAGTTGTGTGGGTCAGCAGGTCAGGTAAGGCTCAGCTGGATACTTCTTTGAATCTATGTGGCATCTTCTGGAGCTGACCAGGAATTTGTAGTCAGATGGTGTCAGCAGGAGGCTGGTTGGCCTCAGATGGTCTGATTCATGTGTCAGGGGCCTCAACTGAGATAGCTATAATAGCTGGGATGTCTGGGCTTCTCTCTCCATCATTTCTGTCTGCATCAAATGTTTTAATCTCAAAGCAGCTGCAACCTGGCTTGCTCACAAGGCAACAGGATTCCAAGAGTGAGAACAGAATCTACAAAACCTCTAGAGTCTGAGGTTCAGAACTCAAAAAGCATCTCTTTGACTGTTCAAAGCAACTCATGGGACCAGCCCAAATTCAAGAGGAGGGGGAATAGACTCCACCTCTTCATGGGAGGTGGCTAAAGTCTCATTGCAAAGGGGCACAGGGGATGGGAAGGGTTACTGTGGCCAGCTTTGCAAACAGTCTACTGTTCCCCAGTGTCCAGATAGCCAGCAAAAAGATTTTGATTGTGCTACTCAGCTACTCAGCTCACATTCATGTGGCCAGGTCAACCACTGTGGCCAGGGACAATGAGTTGCTCAGATGCTCAACTCAGAAGTGGCAAG